CGCTCGCAAGAAGAGATTCATAGGTCTGCACAGATGGGTTCGTGAAGCTACTTACTGCAATGCAATCCTCCTGACCTGTGCACAACCCAGCAGGTTTGCGAGTTTCACATCCCACAGCAATCTCTTGCATGGTCCACAAACCCTGCTATTTTGGAAAATCGCCCGATTAAGCTGGTTGTAATCGCCAATGAAACGTTGTACTCAAATAGTAAATGTTGTGGGTTTACTCTCCATCACACCGGTGTGGTGAAGTAGTAGCTAACTGGCACGTTTTGTTCACTGGACAAACCTTACTAATTGGCTGTGTCGGGTGGCGGGTTGGTTAACGACACATTTATATTTAAGCGACCTAACCCAAAAAAACCAACCTTGATTATGAAATGGTGGCAACCTATCACCGTCGCCATCGCCAGACAGGCTTGTCTCAAGGATCTCACTGTGCGCCGATGAACTTTCGCTTGATAAACGATACCGATTACTATGGCACTCATCCACTGGCACTTCCTGGCAGCCGGGTCAGCCAGCGCGTGACCCTCACAGTACGGGGAGGCTTTCCACTGGCTATTGGCCTTGTCAAACCGGATCACAACTGTGCTACGCCGGTCTCACAAGACGACAAGTGCATCTGTCTCGGGGAACCAGCAGAGCCAGGCTTGTCACAATTAATTCAAAAGAAACCTCATTCATTAACAGCACTTTGGTAATCCACTTCTGGATGAAGGCCTCGCCCAACACAGTGTGTAAAATAAAAACCAGCCGAACTATTTTTGTATCCCTCCACCCCACGTCACCCCCCACCATCCTGCCTGCGCCCATCATAACATTGACAGAAATGGTCGGGATAACGCTCCCACGTCTTGCCTAATGACCACGCCCCGTCGTGCCAATGTTGACCGGACACCAATCCAACAATGGCATCAACGTTGGCAAACTCTCTCTCTCTGTTTGCGGGCTCCTCTCTCTCTCACACACCCCCCCCCCAACTGCCACTCCCAACGCTTTCCCAAACGGCTGATGGCCACAAAAAACGGAAGCTGTCTCAGGCCATGCATCAGCATTGCTACTGTCGCGATAGCAAAAGGGCTAATGGGCCAACGAGTGAACAAAGGCACGACATTAAATTATTCAGGCACGTGACAATGCAGGCGCTCAAGCGCGCACGGCAGGCCCGGGCAACACAATGGCCTCCTATGTTTCCTACAAGTACAGCGACGTGTCCATTGTGTACTTTCCTGTGTTTGGTTGGAAGTAGTGGGCGCCGATGTTTAAATTAGGACACAAAACCTAACGTGGCTGCCTAGTGTGCAGGCGGTGCGACTGCACCAAGGTGCTAGGGGCTGGAGGGTCCCAAGGGCCTCAGGGACCAGGGCACCTGCCTGGATTACGAGGTAATAGGAAATTGGACATGGAGTCCCAAATCCTTGCACAAGGGCCCCATGCCAACCACACTACGCCACTACGGATATACGAAATGCCTCTCTGCCGGTGTGACCCGATGGTGCTGCATAGAGCAATGCCTAAAGAAGCAGAATAGATTTTTTGGTTACGTCAAATTATGGTAATGTTAAATTTCGATTTAGAGCTTTCGTGACTGCAGGGATTCATCTTCTTGGTTCTTTCGGTAAAGTGACGTAGAAGGGAAATAATAAAGTAATACAAATAAAACATAATAAAATAATTCTCACGACGTTTCGGCCACAACGCAAGCAGCCGTCCTCAGATGAAGAACAGGGCTGTCAGAAAGACAGCGTCCGAATGGTGCTGCATAGAGCAATGCCTAAAGAAGCAGAATAGATTTTTTGGTTACGTCAAATTATGGTAATGTTGCAGCGACTTCACGCTCGTCTGATTTTCAAGCAGAACCTTTCTCCGTTAATCAAACATCAGGACGTGTGCAACCGCACACGTGAATGTGTTTCATGGAAATTGAGCTCTGAAGAACTGTAATAAAATACTGGTCAATTAGTCGAGTACGCACTTAGCATTCGCGGGGAAACACAAGTGCGCAGATAAATGCCACTCTAGCAAAGGGATGAAATGCAAAAAATTCCACCATGATCGGCAAGTCGATTTGACGTACTCTGTCATCCAGTGGGCAACATCGCAATCCAGGCGGGTGCCCTCCTGCGTGATGGCTTCATCTCGGTGTGATCCGCCAACCTTTGCCACGGGTTGCTGGATAAACCGGGCATGTGCCACACTATGTGCCATGCTCAGAATTAGCACGGCTGGCTACGGACAGTGTGTCAGAAGTCCAACATACATACCATGCCCGGCAACGTACCACATACGACATGGCCCCATGCCACTTTACCTCAGCCGCATATGTGAATGTGTGGGATCGTGAGGAGCTAAAGTCCAGTCGTAAAATCAACTGCTGGACGAAGGCTTCCTAACCCCCCCCCCCCCCACCATCTGTGTGGGTTGTGAGGGCTATTTGACCATACCCCACTGCCTCTGGTCAGTACAGGTTGGTAAAGGTGGGGGCAGACTGCAGAACAATAATGAGTTTTGCCGCACTGCCCTCTATTGCCCACAACGCCTGCTGGAACGGAGGCTTTTTGAAGGGGGGGGGGGGGCGCGGTGGGCACCCATCAAAGCCATATACATGGTAAAAAAAATCCTGCTTAGCTTGCAAGGTCTGATAGGAACGAGCCCGGCTCTGGGCGATGTCGAAATACGTGGGGATCAGAACTTAGAGACGCGTGGTCAAGCAGCCTGTGGCGTCTTTTGAATGAGAAGATTTAAAACTCGTCATATATATAAAGAAAAAAATATATCAGTTTGAGTTCATAAAAAAGCCAATATAAGTGTGCCTCCACTGAAATGGTCATAACGGTTTTTTTTCTTCCGTCAACTGTGCCCAAATCACATTGGTATTTTGACACACGAGTGCCACGCCATGCGACGGAGGAATTGCACAGCGAGCAGTGTCACGTGTGACACTGCGTTCGAGAAATACGACTGCTGTTACTTCAATTTCTTCAAATCTGTAATAAGTGGCACACTTACTATAGACTGACGGCCCTCTCTGCGATGTGCCATGCAAAGCGTCAAGAGGTGGAATGAGCCAAATTAAGTACATTTTTCTGAGGCCTCTATGAGGCCTTCACAGTTAATGTGCGATCCCTAAACAATGTTTTACTGCCAAACCATGAACATGTATGGGTGGCATATATCTTCTGGACTTTTACATTTTTTCTGTCATTTATCCACACTTTGATCATTTCATATTTCTCACAGAGTCATGCAACGGCTCGCTGACATGGACACCAAAGAGTTACCTCTGAGAACACTGCATGTGACCTCTGGTCCACACGCAGGAGAGGGCAGTAAATTCCCACTTGTTCTGCTGATGATGAAAGCGAGGTTCATCACAGGAGTCAAAGCTGATATTTTATTTCTCAGGAGATGGATTTCAGCCAACTTAAGTGCAAAACCAAATTTAGTGCGATGAGTTTTTCGTGTGTATTCATTGGTTGCCAGGCTCCAGACCATGAACTCATATCAGACGTGATAATCCAGTTGTAAATCGCAGGTGGCTGACACTTGGATTCAAACCCAGGATTTCTCAGCAGTGCAAACTCATTTCTCACTGACACAGCATCAACTCCCAGAGCCACCCAGCCCACCTCTCTATCGCATTCACATCTTGAGTCTTGAGCTCCCGTGTCTCATAATCAAGTGTGGTCCCACTGTACCGTGTGAACGGGCGAGGTGATAATGATTGGGAAATGATATGGCTGCTGCAATGGCTGAATTGGTTGGCTAGTGGGTCCGTTAGCATGTCTTGTGCAATTTTATGGGCAAGTTGGTCAGGTTTTAAATCTCGTACAGCAACGCACAAGAGAGTGGTGAAGTCAGCAACATGCCCAGTTACTTTCAGTTGTGTGTGGCACATATTCACTACTCTCACATATTCACAAAAATCCCCAATACAGCCTAAGTAAGACTGTTGGGGCAAGTGCTGTTACTGAGCACCTATTAAGGACAGCATGGCACACGAGGGGGTGCTTGGCCAACAACACTACCGACCGCCTTTGTCTCCCCGGTGATCATATTTACACACCACACAGATACCAATTTAAGTGTGGGTTGACCCACAGGAGGGCATAGGACCAGTTTAGATATCACTTCCCGCTGATGATAGTTATGGCTGGGAATTGAACCCAGGTGGCTGTAATCGTAGGGTAGTGCACTTGCTATTGGATCACACATTCACCCACAAAAACACACAATACACACATACATACGTATTAACTAGTTCCATTAATAGTGCTGGTGCTCAGATAACCCCCCCAAGTGCATTACTTATTTTAGGCTGAGTCAACCTAAAGGTGGCCCAATTCCAGGTTTGCATGCATGTACAAACAATAACGATAAAGACCCCCCATTAAGCCTAAATTGGCTGTAGGGATACATATAATGAGCACAAGAAATGCAAAGATCCCCTCTGTAGCCTAACAGACTGTAAATAAATGCTGTTAGTGAGCACCTATTAGAGCTTACACACACACACACACACAGACAGTTGACCTATACATACACACTGAAGAACCACTCACACACGCACACAGTAGAACCAGCCTGACACACGCGTATGCATATACACACAGCTGACCATCACACACAGCAGGACCACACTGTCAACAAAGACAAAGAGCCCCTGTATAGCCTCAACAGACTATTGGGGCAAGTGCTGTTCGCGAATAGCACCCATGAAGGCTGGCACGGTACACGAGGGGGTGGGGTGGCCAGCACCACGCCCGACCGCCTTCGTCTCCCGAGTGGCGATGTTTACGCACCGCACCAGGTACTCATTTGAGGCCGAGTCGACCTAGGGGAGGCCCATGACCGGTTTAGATAACCGTCACCGGCGTTGGCCGCGAGTGGGAATCGGACCGGACCCGGATCGCCAGGTTCGTAGCTCGGCGGAGCCAACTGCTACACCGCCGCTTCCAGCACACACACACGCACAGACACAGAGGCATCGCACTCACATGGCGTCGTCCTCAGATAGAGGTTGTCCCGTATCGTCTGCTGGAACTCATGGTCCAGCGAGCCCTTGGCGAACCGCTGGTTCAGGTAGTGCCGCAGGTCCTTGTTAATCAGGCTGCCTGGAAGTGGAGAGCACACGAACAGCGATACTCGGAGTCAGGGGCGAGCGGTTGAATCTACCACCACCACCGTTCCCCTAGGCCAGGCGGCACCCAGTCCCGTAAACACTTGGCGGCCAGACACAGCCCCAAAGTCGGCACATGGTAGCGCCACCCCCCCCACTCCGCCACAGTGTGGAGTGAGTGATGAATGAAGGGGGCGGGTTCTGCATTCCGGGTCGCGCGACCGGGAATCCGTGCCGTGTTTTATCGCCGACGCAACCTTTCTCTCCGTTCACTCGCTGGGTATGGGACGGGCTGCCGAGAGAAAGGCGCGCTCGAAAGGTCAGCCCGGATTCTGCTAAAAAAACACAAGAGCGCGGAGCGGGGACGACAGCTGAGCCAAACAACAAGGGGTGTTCGAATAAATGTTTAAGCAGGGACGCGGCGAGAGAGGAAGTCTCTGATTTTGACACCGTAATTCAGTTAGTTGCTTTAAAATAGATTTAGTAATAGGTGTTTACCCTTTCAACTGGTACAAAACTGACACCTTTATACAAGGCATCATGTTTGCAATAACCACAACACAAGCAGTCAAAATAGAAACAAAAAGAAACAACTCTGATGATGATAAGCACTGTTCCTGAAGTTGATTGGTCCCACACCCGAGACAGCTTTTAATAGAGCCTAGTCTCCACTGGTGTTGGGACCAGATGACGCCAAAAGGCGTACAACTCAAAAACAGCGCACTATCAGAGTATTGAGAGCTCGGGTTAAGCATTTACACTATGAGACCTCATTTACCAGTGGCAAAATATAGTAATAGGTTTTTAGTAATATAATAATAGTTTTGTACCAGTTGAAAGGGTAAAAACCTATTACTATATTTTGCCACTGGTAAATGAGGTCTCATAGGTTAAAATAGATTCTAAAGAGTCTAAGTTCATCATCAGCCATGGTTAATCCACTGCTAGATGAAGGCCTCCCCAAGCCACGGACGCCAACTCTCATGATCCTGCGATGCAAGAATCCAATCCACGCAACCCCCTTAAGGACCCCGAATCGTGACAATTCAGATGTTATTGTTGACGCACCTGAATATTAACCAGGGTGGCCTGCTGGTTTTAAATCACGAAGCCCAGCAACAAGCAGCAGACACGCTGGGCCTGGGCTACGTCACCGCACCCAGGAAATTAAATTTCAGCAGAGGCGTTGCATGTAGCTTGCACAAGGATATTGCAACTTTAAAAAAAAAAAACACAAATTTCATTTTCTAAGCAACAGTAGCACTCTCAGACTACAGAAACCACACACACGCGCACAGTACAGTATAACGATTTGGAAATCATGTGCGGTGAAGAATTTTTTTCCAGAGCTTAAATAGATTCAGTTGCAATAAATGCGATGTAAAAAAAGAAGTCTTTTTTAAAAAATGTCAAGCCCCTGTAGTTAAACGCAAATTACTTACAAAGCCCCAACTGCCTGGCACTTACAAATTATTTTTGTGATGGGTTTAACATGTCAAGCCAAAAATATAACAAAAAAATTGCCAATGTTTTAGGACAAAGAGAAGGCATTCAATTGATGAAAAATATCTGGTGCAATGCCAGGCATTTTAACAGACACATATATCGTATGCAACATACACTCCCACAAGACATGAAATTCACTGAAGGTGCACACAAGAGAGTACAGTACAATAAGCAGAATGTAGTCTCCACACATAAATAAATTATATGTTCAGCCCAATATCACTAAGTAGCAGTTTAAAGCAAACAAACTTTGGACTGGTTCCAATCTTCTGGGGCCTCATCAGCAGTCAGGCCTTGTTAAGCAAAATGCGCTCTAGATGACAAGATATAATTGGCAGGAGCAATAATATACCGTACCCAGGTTCAATGCAAAACATTTTGCTATTCCATACGCAAACTCATAATGCGTTGTCATCATGGAGCATAAACCATCACGTGAACTGCGGTCATCCTCATAGCGTCTTTTGGCTAGCCAATGAACAAAAACGGCCACTGCATCACGCGCTTTCAGATGCGCTTCTGCGGCCGTCTGGAACGCCCTTCATTCCGATATTATTTGGCCACTGGGAGCCATCCACTTTTATATCCGAGACTGAAAATCAATTTCTTCAGAACAACTTTTTGTGTATAGTTTGTTGTCCTTCCCCCGCACCTCCGATAAGCGCAGCTGGCTACGGACAGTGGCACGGAAGTTCAACATACATGCGAAAAATAAGAATAGGTTTTCACCCTTTCTGAGCAGCTAAATTAATGGGACCTTTTTGCTGCTCACCGCGAGCTATAAATGCTTCCATATGTGCATCGTCTTTGTCCTGTTCGTCTTTTGGCATCCTCTGGCGTGACACTGGTGAGACTCGGTCATAGAGAAGGCCGTCTCCAGTGTAGGCCAATCAGTTTCAAATACAATGCAGAAATTATACACTATGTAATAGGTAATACGATTTTTGTCCCTGGGTAGAAAGTGTTATTTTTTAATTGCTGATGCCTAAAAAGTACAGAAAATGGATATTATTCACCACAAACTTTGCTTTTGTGACCAGGAGTTTACGTGAAGGAATGACACAGATTCACACGTTTTATAATTGAAAATAGGTACATTTCAAAATATGACTGTCCTGGTCACAAAAGCAAAGTTTGTGGGGAATAATAGCCATTTTCTGTACTTTTGAGGCATACGCAATTAGGAAATAACACTTGCTACCCAGGGACAAATAAATATATTTTTTGTTACACAGTGAATTATCAGAGCATGTTTTGTTTGCATGTTCACCACAAGTACAGGATTAATGCAGTCTTGATTCCTTACAAAAAGGTATCTATTTGGCGTTTGAAAATCTTAACACCTGCTGTTTTATTGCCAGAAAGGGTAAAAACGTATTCTTATTTCTCTTACTTTGATAATGGCAAAAAAGGTGATATACATAATACATTGTGGAACATCACGGGATAAAATAAGTATGCGAACAAATATGTAAACAAAACCAAGGAAGCAAAACTCTGTTCCGTCCACCACGTACAACGCACATTTACCGTGTCCGGCAACCATCAGGTCACTGCACACCGCCTCTGCTTTGCCCTTCACCAGGAGGAGACCAACAGCACATCACGCTCACGATGGAGCATGTGGCACGTTACAGAAAGGAATGCGAGTAATCTTATCGGTCACCCTTCATTTTTTTTCCTTTCACCCCCCCCCCCTTTTCCTGCTAATGACAAAGCAACGTGTAGGATTAATCGGAGTTTTTAACGGTCTGACGGGTGGACGAAAGAGCAGATATGCACAATGGGAAGAGCACAACCTTTGCAAAATGCTCGTTGAGATAAGGTTTTTTTTCTCTCCCCCTTTACGCCGCAGTGACCGGGAAAAGATGGCTTCGAATCACCTTTGGAAAAGGCAGTGATAAAAGTAGGGCCCCCCCTTTACACCCCTATCTTCTAGAAACACGCTACGTCTGTCGGGACACGCCAGGACTATGCCAAAACAACAAACCCGTGTTCGTCAACAACGCTGTGGGCGCTTTAAAATGGTGACGTATAAAACTGACCATTACTTTTTGGGCAACGGCCCTTTTTCACAGCACCGTTTACTTTCGGCGCGATGACAAAAGGTGGACGCTTCTTCTTGGTTCTTTTGGTAAAGTCACGTAAAATGGAAATAATAAAATAATAAAAATAAAACATAATTAAGTAATATATTATATAATGTTTTATTTTATAAAAGAATATATTATATTATGTTTTCTTTTTATTATTTTATTAGTTCCATTCTACGTGACTTTACCGAAAGAACCAAGAAGATGAATCCCTGCAGTCACGAAAGCTTTAAATCGAAATTTAAGGTGGACGCTGCTCAAATGTATGCAAGAGGCAACGTTTTGGGCAATGGAGATTGTCTCAAACATGGCCTATGATGGGTTTTTTTTCCTTTCTAAGACCATATTGTTGTCGCCAAATTGTTGAGATGTTTTTGCATGCGATATTTGTGCTCATGAACCGCTGAAAAACACATGGATCCCTCCCCTCCCCCCGTATAGCCTTAACAGCCAGACAGGGCAAGTGCTGTAAGTGAGCAGCACCTATGAAGTTTGGCACGGCACACGAGGGGGTGGGTGGCCTGCACCACGCTGGACTGCCTGCATCTCCACAGTAGCGATGTTGTTTACACACCGCAAACCAGGTTTCTCACGAGGCTGAGTCGACCTAGGGGAGGCCCACGACCGGTTCAGGTGATCTTCACTGGTGTGGGCCGCGAGTGAGAATCGAACTTTGGGTCCCAGGGTTCGTAGCGCTAATCCACCGCACACCACCGCTCCCCACGGCTAATGCACCACTACGAATACAGTATCGCCAACTAACGCGTCAACTACGTTCGCGAGGAAGAGTAGGCCAAAGAACCGACAGACAGACTCTTTGAGCTCTCTCTAATGGACGTCCTTCAGCCAGCAGTGACACGAGCAAATAATTTCATAGCTGCACCTTTACTTTTCTGCCACCAAGTAACATGCATGTACTGTCCATACATGTACAGCCCGTTTTGACAATCCACTGCTTGGCGAGTTCTAATCCCAGGGAGCGGGTAAACTCAACCTTTAAATACGACGAGCAACACTGAGTCATGTCCTGCAGACAGACCTGCTCCTGCTCCAGGAAATGTGGAATTTTCACAAGAAGATGAAGGGCCGTAATAGGGAGAATATGCTCCGCTCCATGCTCACACAACACTTAGTGTTCACAATATCTGTGGAATCAAATAATATCCCGTGCTCTGTCCCTGCTAACAGTTTGAAGTGCCGTATAATGAGACTGAATGGAGGTTTCTGTTTTATATATATATATGTACCTACGCCGGCGCCTTATTATACCGAATTCCAGGAGAAGATAATTACGCAAATTAAGCATATCCATTGTATGGTGCTTAGGCCGCTGCGAGAAAAATAATCAAGCGGAATTTTTTCTCCAATTCGGCCTTTGCTCATTAAGTCTGGGTTA